CTGACTAAACACATAGATAAACTACATCATGAATATACATCAGTCACTTTTTTTCTCTGTAAGTAGTAATTATGTTCCTCGTATTTTGTTTTTGTTTTTTGTCTTTCAGGCTGAAGAAAAGCTCAATAGGCATACACATGCAGTCCGCATTAGTGCTTTGTTAGCTCCCAAAATTCTTAGATAAACAACCTGTTTTATTTGGTGATGGCCAAGGCGACTCTCCGACAGAATAAATGGTCATAAAATATTCCTTGTCTAGTGTGGGTTATATCAGCATTTACTCTATTCCCTTGGACAACCATGTGCACTCGCGTAGTAAAAAAGTAAATTGCTTGAGGTTTTAAGATTGCGTGTTGAATGCCTTATAATTTCCTGTCAGGCATGTTTTTGTTGAATTAAGTAATAATTTTAAAAAAACTGTGTTAGAACATGATTTATTTGGGAAGCTGTGTACCTATAACAATCAAACAATCATATGCTTGAAACATTTAGACATTTCAACTAAGCGATTTTGAAACTTCACCTCGGACATAATAAGTTATCGCCAGAAACTTCTCTGAAAAATCTTAAGGTGCATGTAGCCCCCAAATAAAAAAGTTTCTTTCTTGACTGTCATTCACTGGAGATCGTTGGAAGAGTCCGCAATATTAGCGGGCTCGAAGTTCTTAGCTGGAAATCAAATTGCACATACAACTGAGGCGTTTCTCTTCTCTTTTCTTAGACAAGTATCAGAGCATGGCTCTTATTTGAACTTTATCATAAAATATTTTCTCCATCGAGCTGATGTGATTTTCATGCTGTAATAACTGATTAAACCACAAGTGAAGAAATTTAGAAGCAATGATTTTAAATTTTATCCATTTTAATGCGTTTTTCAGGCTGTAGTACCTGGTTTAGACCACAATTTGAGAAATTAAGAAGCGAAGACTTTTTGTTTTATCGAGGTATATATGACCTTAACATGCATTGTCAAGCAAGAGAAACATCACAGGAAAAAATCGTTTGATCAAAACCAAATCGACCCGCGCGAAAACTGAGAAAGCAAAATTTAGCAAATAACGAGAGCTGAAGTTAAAAGAATCCTAAGATGGCGAATTCTGAAAGTTTGGTGAGCGATAAACACTATTTAGATTTTACACAATGACAAAATTCAAACGCTATAAGCTCGAGTGCCAGTTGGAAGAACATTTAGTCTCTCTTTCAAAGTCCAAAAACGTGGTAAGCTCTGCAGTTGAGTATAGGTGAAAAGGCTCTCACAAAAGGTCTGGACTACACAGTAAGTGATCTTAACTAGGCCGTTTTATCAGCGTGCACCATTGATTAATGACAAATCAACTAAAGCTATTGAAAGATTGGAAGTGTGTGGATAAATAGTGATGAATCATGTGTCCTCGACTACCAAACACAGCTGTACACAAGCTCCTAGCTACGTGAGATAATCCAAGATATTTGTAAACCTTGTATATTCAGCTTGAAATAAATTTTCAAGTTTTTGCTTTGAAAATGCCTCAAACGTGTAGTAGCTACTTTATGCATTATTTTTCAGATTTTAGCAAAATTGCATGACTGTTTTCGCTCATTCCCTGCAAATAACCTGAGAGTGCGCAAAAGTGAAAGAGAGCCTGAAGGAATTTAAGCAAAAACAGGCAGTCTATAGAAAGCCTTTTACTGACTAAAATAGTTATCTTTTTAAATTTTTTTTATAAAAGCGTATGTATGGTTAGTTACTTGTGGCCATTCTCGGGTCAGAGGAAAGCACGAGTTTTCCGGCGGTTGGAATGTTGACTGCATCAAGGGTGAAGTGCCGTTGAGTAAACTGCATATTGAAACAGTAATTGTTTTAAGGGGTATTAATGCCTGGATAATGATGTTTATTTATTCCAAACAATCATAGAATTTAACTGCTATTTCTCAATATCGAGATTTTGACTGACAAATTTTTGTCAATTGAAGTACTGATTCGCACTAGAATGATTTAATTTCTGTTATGCTTGTCTGTTTTGCCATAGAGGTAATTAACATATGCACAAAACGTGTAACTTCGCACCCTTTTGAGTCATTTTCATTTTGCTGAATCAAATCTTTCTCGTTTATCTACACACTTACACACTCCATGCAATGATTCTTCCGAAGGTCACTTCATAATTGCATGAGATGTTACGAACCCTAACAGAGGAGCTGAAAAGGCATAAACAAACAGTCTACATTGATGCTTTGTTAGATCCTGAAATTCTTCGACAAACAGCTTGTTTTATTTGGTGATGACCAAGGCGACTCTCCGACAGAATAAATGGTCATAAAATATCCCTTGTCTAGTGTGCGTTATATCAGCATTTACTCTATTCCGACTTGGATAACCATGTGCACTCACGTAGTAAAAAACTGAGCATGAGTTGTGTCAGTCGTTTGGGGTTTTTAGATTGCGTGTTGAATGCCTTCTAATTTTCTGTCTAAGAAACAACGATAAAATTGAAAGAACTAGTAGACTTTCTCATTTTCGAGAATTTGAAACTTCACCTCGAACAAGTAAAGTTATCGCCAAAGTTCTGAAAAAATCTCACGGTGCATGTTGTAAAATGGTTATCTTCTTGAAATTAATAAGTTTCCTTCTCGTCTGTCTTTCACCAGACAGGTGAGAGATGACGGACAGAGAGTTGATTTAAGAGTAAATATTTGCAGAATTGGAGTACTCAGCTGGAAATCAATTTGCACATTCGACTGTGAGTTTTCTCTTCCTTTTTAGACTTGCACGGGAGCATGTTTCTATCAGTGTAACAATATGGCTCATACTTGTAATTTATTTATAGAACCATTCCTCTGTGGAATTGATGGGATTTTTAGGCTTTCGTAACTGATTAAGACCACAGTTGAAGGGATAGAGAAGTAAAGATCTTAAATCGAGCTAACTATAATCCTAACATGTACCGTCACTTGAGAGAACCATCACTGAGAAAAAAACGTTTGATCAAAACCACATCGATGCACGCAAAAAGTGAAAGTAAATTTTAATAACGAAACAAAGGCTGAAATTAAAAAAAAACGTAGAGAATTGTCTCAGCGGTCATAACACAAGCGGAGAACATTTAAGTTTAAAGTTGTGACGCTTGTTACTCTTAAGAACATACTTTTCACAAGTACAAAACGATCTAAAGCGATGATTTGCGTTCTTTTGCCTAGGGTTGCATCAAGCCAAAGAAAGCTTCCAACGTGGATTTGTGACATGGAACAAATAGTATTTAACATGCGACGCCAGTTGATGAACAAAGAAGTCGAAGGGAGCTTTAATATATGTATTAGTTTTAGATAATTATGTCCCTTTATATTCTTCGTATCAGTTTTACGACCCTTGTAATAAGTGAATGTTTACGGTTTTCTTCAGATGTTGACTAAATCTTTGAAAATCATGTTGCATATCTTGTTTTAATTGCGAACAACTAAAGTAAAAAAAACAACAACAAAAAACAAAAGGCTTCGGCTTCTGGCGAATTAGGAAATTGATTTTAAATCATTTGATTTTACTCTGCGTCTTCCACCTCCACGAAATTTTCTAATTCTGCCTTGTTCCTTACCTTGCGTTACTTGAAAAATCTCTACAGATGTCTTTTAAATTTGTTCCTGCGCGAGTAGTTTGAAATTATTTCAAAAGGTAATTATAATGAACGAGATGTTTTCCAAAGAGTAAATTCACTATGATAACTTACAAAGTAAATAACGAAAATTAGGTTAAACTTGTGATTTTTTTGACGTTTTTGTTCAACAGAATCGGGAGTTGAAGCCGAATAATGAACTAAAGGCTTATTCACGAAAGGATCAATGAACATTGGGATTTGAAAACTGTGGATTGATAAAAAACGATGATCTTTGATCAAAAACACCCTGAAACATTAAAGAAAGGGAGCTCACAGATCTGCGAGAATCTACCAGTCCATAAGGAATTTTTTGTCTGAAGTCCTGACGAAAAGATTTAGATAGGACGTTAGTGATTTAAAACGTTATTTCAGGTACGGTATATTTGGATCAAGTTTCAGTGCCATGGTTGAGTTTGTTTTCCGTCATCTGTTGATAAAACGGAAAGTCGTGAATGTATAAAGATCAATTGATTACCCTTGAACTCCTTCGAGTGACCAATACATAATTTCCCCTCACCAAATCAATACAATATCAAACATACAAGTGATGAGAATAAAGCCAAATATCAGTTAGGGGATTATTAGTTGATTCAATACCACATTCTCAGTTATAAATCTTCCCTTATTGTCAGCTGACGCACAACAATGTCAGTGCTTGGAACTGTTGTTACGGATCAGTGCCAAGTTTACACTTCAATAGTAAGACACTTTGCTCACAGTGCTCAGCGCCTCTTAGGAGCGTAAACTAGCAGTGAAGGGAACTTACGGGGGGAGGGGAGAGAGATTAACCTGCAATGGACCATCATCCCATCCAGGTGGGGTAACCACCTTGTGGGTCGGTAGTCTCCAGGGAGGAGTAAACCCTCTTTTCTCCAACCTTTTCCCATTTAAATTTAGGGATAGCTTTTTGAAAAACAGGGATAATAACGAGCTATTAATAGTTCCGGGTCCCCAACATTACCAATAACTTATAAGCAGTTAAAGCAAAACTTAAAGGTGTTTTCGACGGGTTATCTCATTTGTTTGAAACTTTATTTCGTCATTACTCGAATAAAGTATTGCTGCAAAGCATTGTTAACATTGTGTTCTAAGCCATGTGAAGTTCAGCTAAAAAAATTAAGTACTGCAACTGTCAAGTTCAGCAGAAATAAAAAAGGTTAAAAAGTTTCAGTTATCATTTTCTTATCTTACCAAAAATAAATAATTCTTTAATGATCTCTAAAAATGATAAAAGTTCCCAGGAAACATATCTACAGATTAATCCCTAATATTTTGACTATCATTTCGAGCGATTGGAGCATAACCATTGGAGACAATGTGTTAAATTTTGGACGCCGTACGTCGAGGAATGAACTAAGACAGAAACAAGGATTTACTTCAAATTACCACAACATTTCAATACTGTCAAAAGAGTACATCCACATCATGCAATTTTTAATTATCAAGAATTACTTCTCAGTTTAAATTGCATGTCTTATCAAAAAAGTTATCATTCCATTCTCCAGGCCTAGACAGGCAACAACCAATCCAATACAAATATGAGTAGACTTCTAAGTGAACTCACCATCAAGAATAAACGAACAGAAAAGTAAGAATTATTGTTGTATCAAATAGCTAAAAAGACTGCCCGCAGTCTTTTAAGCTTTGCTAAGTTTGTTACTGATGAACAATAACTACAAATACTTAGGACTAAAACAATGAGAACATTCCTTCTCCTTTTGATGGGAATTCAGTTGTAGGGGAAGGTAAGTGTTTTCATTTCAGTGCAGCTACCTTCTACACCCTCAGCTATTTGCGAATAGTGCTGATACACATGTGCAAATTGATTTATTAACTGGTCTCTCCCTAAAAGAAAAGGAAAAAAATGAATAAATCAGGTGAACAATGCAAGTGTTAAGACCTGTAACGAAATCATTAATCGAATTATAATTATACCTACCCTAAAGGTATTATAATTATCCCTACCCTAAAGGTATTATAATTATACCTACCCTAAAGGTATAGCCACATTAATCCTTTGACCTATAAGAACCTTGTGAAGGTTTACGGATCAAGCCACTTGTTCAAGAGGAGTTATGAACAAGACACATGTTCATTTTTATCTCAGCATAAAAACCCATAATAAACTGTAGACAGATACTTCAAACATTTGTAAACAGAATTTATTGAACAATATCCCTATACACCTGCACTGAGTTTTACCCAGCACAATTCACTCATATACTTAACGTAAACTTTAGTGCACCATTTGCCAAAGACCAGAACTAATTGTGCTCCGGCCTTGAGTTTCATAAAAGTTTAGTACTTTAAGTTAAAAACAATATTGAAGTACCACAACCTAAAGTTAGCAAAAAAATTATATAAAAAACATAATAACTCAATAGTGTTACTTGATCTGTGCTTTAGTTTGCATTACACATTAGCGATCATAAACGGGTGTCAAGAAATGAAATTAAATGAGAGTGTTACCTGTTGTCGACTTCTTTTAGAGCGCCTTGACCTTTGCTTTGAAAGAAAACTCTTTATGGACCTTGGCATTAGAGAACTGCTCCGTTTCTCTACAGGTCTTGAATTTGATTTAAGGTCTCTAATTTTTATGCTCTCCTCCTCTTTGGGAATTTCTCCTGCAAGAGGTGTACTGTGGTTAGCAGCCAAAACTCTTTCACGAGGAGAATAGTCTTTGGATTCTGAATCTTGATTAATTTGATTGCTGACTCCTTTGTCCTGTAAATTTGTTTGATTTCCACTTTGCTGCGAAACAATGATATCATCATTTCTCATGATGTTTAAGTCTTGTCCTTTCTTCTCCTGAATTTCCAAATTCTGTTTCAATTCCAACTCCCTTTTCATCAGAGTTTTATCTTGTATATCTTGTGAAGATTTGGCTTCATTTGAAAGACTATCCAATTTTTCTGAATCCTTGGAATCAGATTCCTTTATGGTATCTGCAGTTACCTTTGTAAAAAAAAAGGACATACATGATTCAAGGTAAACATTGTTTAGAGCACAGTAGACTTTTTCTATTTCTAAAAACAGCAAACAGCCTATTGTAAGGTTGTCCTGTAGCCTTTTCTCCAGTTTTTTTGACAGTTTACTGTTATCTATTGTATTCCTTGGCAAGAAGAGGCACTGTGTAGGTAAAGTGTCTTGTTTAAGAACACAACATGAGAACCTGACCAAGCCTGAACCTGGACCTTTCAATCTGAAGTCCTCTGCCTTAACCACTAAGTCACTGCATCTTTAGGAAAAAAGCCAATAATAAAAGAAACTTTTGTGGCTACATTTTGGGATACATGGAGGCCCAATTCTTAAACAAAAGGTCCAGGTTTATGCCCTAGTTGGCTCACAATGTTTTGTCCTTGGACAAGACTGGAGATTAAACTGGTACCAGCAACCTTCCAAGGAAACTTGAAGAACTGCTGTTGGGTTACATTGTGATGGACTGGTGTCCAATTCCAGGAGGATACCATTATTCTGGTCACTCCATGGTAAAAAGATTATGTTAAGCTCAAGCAAGCAAAGCTCAAGAGATTTTACTAGATCTTCAAGCCAATGCAGGTTTTTTGAATAGGTCTTTACATTCTATAAATTTGAAATATAAATAAGATAGCTTGAAAAAGTCAATAGACTTGGGAATGATTTTGACACAAGTTTAGAGCAAAGAAACTCCAGGCCATCCTTAATATGCTAATTGATTAAAACTTAAAAACATACAAAAGTTGAGATCTTAGAGTTGCTCAATGATGATAAGGTAGGTATAAAAAATAAATAGTCATTAGAAGTCAGAAAAAAGTCATCAAGGATTGTGGACCTACTGTACAAATAACTTTGAAATAGCAAAGACAAATGAATTTGGGGCCTTTTTAAAGAACTCTTGCAAAAATGTAAGGAATTTTTGAAAGACCACATGAACTCTAGCAGACATGTAAAACCTTTCAGTCTTGTGAATGATTAACAAATAATTTCTCATTATATCATTGATACAGTGTACATAGAAAGGTGACAAGAGAAAAGCAGTATCAGTTGGATATTGTTTGACTGAACTCTAAGTTTTCAGAGCCTAAGTTATCAGAAAAGCATGGAATGAAGAGGTTAGTTGATAAAGAGATCTAAAGAGTGAAAGGTTACCTCCATAAAATTACAGCTTAGTTTAAAGAAATGCTCAATTTACTTTTACATTTTGTTCAATTAACTGATTTTAAAAAAATGTTATCCTTGGATAGTGTCAATGGTTGTGAATTTAGTGTGACAAGAGATTAATAGTTAGCATTTGAAGATTATAGAGATTGATGGCCAAAGACAAAATCATACAATAAATTCTCAGTGCATATTTCTGTTAAAGGTTTTATTTTCACATAGTGCACCTTAATACAGTAATTTGCCCTAATTTAACAGATTTTGCTGTACATGTGCTTATCACTCCACACATTTGATATCCATGTACCACCCAACTGTACTTATTCTCCCTAAATGCTATTGTACAAGTTTTAAAGAATGTCCTATAATGTTGCCAGAAATTTCCGTGATGGATTTTGTTCAACAAGGTGTTCACCACTTCAAGAGAATAGAGGGCTAAAATACCACATTCATATAGTCATCTTCTTTAGGTTAAAAGTTTATTTTTTGATAGTGTTTCTTTGATTGGTAATGAACCACAAAGTTTTGGTACTAATAGCCTTATACAGTGTACTCTCTTCTCACTTTGAAATAATTACATTTTGGCTTTTTACAAAGCACCTAGGTGGTGGCTTATTAATCAAGGTTTAGGAAGGAGAACTTAAAGTACCATTTATGTTAAACTTAATGTTTATGGAAATATGGATTTGGCAGAACAGGTGAAAGTCTTTTCATGTTATATTCTAGTGTTTATCAATGAAATAATAGCATGGAAATGAAACCTAGAACTAACTAAAATGCATTTCCTAAATGGAACTGATCAATATTAAGGTAGCACTCCTATGGTCTATAAAGCTAACACTTTGGCCATCAATCTAGATGTTTGTTTTAAAAATTAACAGGTTTAGTTTGTTTCCATCCATTTATTGGTCAGGAGGTGGTCTTGTTTTCTTTCCACCTGAAGATTGCTTTGGAAAAATATGACTTTTTTACCAGGAATATCTGAATAAATTGAATGAATGTAAGTCTTCAGCAAGGGAAATAAACCATGGCAACTCAAAAAACCTATTTGTCACACAAACAGTGAATGTATTTCCTGACCCATTCACACATAGCCCAGGCAGCCAATGCAGTATATATGAGAGCATCAGGTGTGATGTTGCATGTGTTAGGGAGAGAACTGAGGAATGAGTCAGGATGTAAACAGCCACTCTTCATCCCTACTGATTAACAAAGAGTTGCACATTTTTGTTTCCCTCACTGATTCTTTACAGAACCTTATTTGGCTGCTCCAGCTTCTTCAACTCCTCATCAATTTCTTGTTGTGAGACCTTGATTGGTTCAGCATTAACAGCTTTCTTGATGCCTGCATTCACATTATTAGTTTTCTCCTCCATGTTGTCCACATTGTTTGACTTGTCATCTTCTTTACTCATTAGTTGTCGCTTATCATTCTTCAAAGGTTCTTCATTGTCTTTTTTCTGAAGTGGATCATCCTGTGGGGCATGAGGCACTGGAGGTTCTTGTCGCTTAACCTCACCCTCAATAGGTCTAACAACATTCTCTGTCTGCTCTAATCCTTCATTAACTGTGGCAGCAATGGGTTTTTCAGCTGGCTTGACATCATTTAAGCTTTTTTCATCTTTGGCAATATTTCTATCCTGCCCTAGACCAATCTTAAAGAAAAAAACAGAAACAAATTGAATGAATCTCTGTATTGACTAAAAGTTTGATGCAACTTGTTACTTCTGAAAATTGAACTCTACATTTAGAAGTATTTTTGAAATTCAACATCAAAAGTCCTATTTTAATTCTATAAATTGCACTAATAATAAACTGATATTTTAATCATAACTGATAATAATGAAATAGAGTACACTTATCAATTGCCTGAAGTGGTATTTTGGCCTAAGGTGTTACATACAATTGGTGGAGGACATGACAGCTCAATGGTTAGCACACTGAAGTTAGGATTGAAAAGAATAACTTTGATCCATGACCAAGATCATTATGTCCAAAAGCATGGTTCCTTTCTGTTGCCATGTTAATTAAATCTGAAAGCTCCATTTAGAGTACCAGGAGTTATCTGTGCATGTATATCAAAACAACACCCTTCAGCTGATAAGTCTACTGTTATCACTAGCTTTCTAGAGGTATCGATACTGCACAGAGAGTTTCATGTGAAAGACATGCTCCACCCTCAATAAGTCTCTTTCATAGTTAACTGATAACAAGGAAGGGTAGCATTATGATAGAGATCACATGTAACCCTTTTTCCCCCAAGAGTGACTAACATCTAATTTGTCCTTACAATATCACCCTTGAATCAAAAATTAATGGCAAGAGAATAAAGGAAATGATCACCAAGTAAAGAGGCTCTTGATTTTTAAACAAATTTTCCTTGTCAACATCTTAGAAAATAAATTAAGAACAGCATAAAGAATATGGATACTGATGTTAGGAGTGTAAAGGGTAAAAGACGTAGGTATTCCTATAGAACTGAAGTTCTGTACCTTAGCTATGTCTACATCAACTGGTGCTTCTCTGACACCAACATGGAGCAGGGTGTCATTAGTTCTTGACTGTGGAGGATTATGGAAGTCTACCGGCTTAATAGGATCAATTCCTGGTGGATGGATGTCAACTTGGTGGTGTGAGCTTTCTTCTTGAGTAGTTAGCACCGTGTATGTGCCTGCCACAAAGAAAATTACACCCAAACCAAAGACAACCTGTAAAAAATAGGAGTAAAGAGACTAAATGCTTGTATGTGAAACTCATTATTCTTCATGCATGACTAAGAGTCATGCAGTGTTTCTAGCATTCATAAGTTCAATACACCTGGTTAGGTATGAGAAAACAGATTTATCATAGCATAATAACTTGGAAATGAGCATGCAAAGCATCAAGGAATCATGCTTCTGTTTGATGGCAACTCTTTCCCCCAATATCATTAGTAAATGATTCATTTACAGTCAAGAAATTCAGCTTCATAGATCACTTTTTAAGCTTTACAAACTACAGTGAAAATTCAAACAGCTTACTTCTAACATAGGAAAATGCAAGCACACCAGATGGTCTCAGGTTTATTTTCAGTCTCTTAAGTTGAGATGAGAAACCCAAGGCAAACCTGGATTCTGTATAACAACCAATCAGGCAATCAAGCAATCCAATAAACTCTCTTTCATTTGCAACCAAGCTTTTTGCTTTTAATTATTGAAAGCAGAACAATGTGTGTTCTCAGTTTTTCCCTTTGGTATAATTATTATCTACTGGGCAGCTAAGCTTCTTCATAGGATTTATATATTAATGCAACCCTCCTCAGCTGTTGAACATTTAGTTGCTTACTTTCATGATGGCTACCACAGTTCTGCTGACTCACCTTGGCTACAAACCTTGCAGATGTCTTTTCAGTTACAACATGTAAAAACATGGTGGATGGGAATACAAATGCTATCAAAGTGCCCATTGTTGCTCCAGTCAATGCTAACACAAATTCAACTAAAAACCATAGAGAAAATTAGTAATAAGAGGTTTGTTGAGCATTTATACAATAAAACAATAGAAGTTATGTTCCAGGGCATAAATGTGTTTTGGGCTTGACTAAAAGCCCCAAAACATATCTGTGCCCACAAACATAAGCTGACTATTACTGTAATTATTATTACTTGGAGGTTATAGAGAAAATAAAAACTGATCACACTTAACAACAGTCTGAACAATCATGGGAGCATGCAAGCAGGCCAACATATATTTAAACCTGGCAAGATCTCCATTTAAGCCCGCAAAATGTGCCACGATGCCCAACAAAATAATAATGTCATTTTTAATCATGAGAACCATGTTTTTGAACTAAACTAACATAACTTAATGTAACAACTTTATTTAAAATAATAGGAAAAAAATTATAAAAGGAGTTTATACATGGTATCTTCAGATAAATTCATAATTCACTTATTAAATAAAATTTAAAAAGTTAAAAATTAAGGAGTTATCCCCACTAAAATATATAGAAAAATACTAAAAATATTTCTAAAAATTTTCTTGAGAACGGCAAATAAGACATCAAAAAGCTGCTTTCCAACTGCTCAATTTCCAAAGGATCACACCATGACTTGAATCTTATATGCCTTTAAGTCAGGACAAAAAATGTTGTTGTTGTTCTCAATCTCAGAACAACATCTTTGTTGACAGTGCAATCATGCACTTACTTTGTGGAAAGAGAATGCCCAACATCAGGGTGCTAGATATGATAGCAAGGGTGAGATAAGTGAATCTATCTTGTGGAATGAAGTTGGCACCTCCTGGTAAATTTTCTGAACTTCCTGACTGCTGACAGAAATAAATCAACTGCATAAGGATAGGTCATACTCTAGACATGACAACTTCAACAACAATCAGACAGTAATACTTAGCAATGCTGATATCATGTTTATGGTGTGTAAAAAAAAAGAAAAAAAAAAGAAAAAAAATGCAGAGAGATAGGGAGAAGTTCATAACATAACCTGACATCAGAATGTCTTCATTCTGAGACATGCTTTAGTTAATATTTTACTGAATTATATGTTCAGTAATTGATATTTCTAGAATATCTAAGAAAGAAATCCTTCTTTGTTAACATTTAGTTCTAAGTTTATCTTAAATGTAGATAAACTGACAAGTCTTGTTATGCCAGGTCTGTTCTCCATCCTGATGGCCTACACTGCCACAGCTTATCTCTGTTTTAGTAACATTAAGTAACCAAGACAATTGCTTCTCCCTTGGTTATCATACCAGTGCTTTGCAAGTTTACCACATGAGTTTGTCAAGTTTGTACAAAAGTTTGACAACACCCATTTAAAACACTTAAAGGAGAGAGGCTTTGTGCTAAAGAGGTGTCTTAATCAGTATAGGGGTCCTACTCAGACCTCTTGAGGTGGACCATTAACTCTTGGGCCACTGCATCCCCCATTCTGGATACACCAGTATTTGAAACTTAACATTCACTTTCTTAGATAGATTTTTTCTGACCTGCTGAAATATCAAAGAATGTAGACTTGCTCGTAGAGGATAAACCATTAGGGGAAAGCTGACAATAACTGACATCACAAAGCCTGTAGGAATATAAACAGTAAAAGAAGCAGTTTATACTTGAACTAAATATAGTATATGGAGTATTTCCACAAACAAATGTCAGTAAGAGCCATTACAATATTAATGGTGCAAACATCAGTTGCTGTATCATTGACTTAGTAAGTTACATTAACTGGTTTGTCTAAGACCTTACCTAACTTTATTATCTGTGAAATAAAAGTGTTTCCATAGTTTGTCAACATGTCACCCTTGACACCAACACTGTAGAAGCTGACGTAGCCAAAAAATCCAACCTATTTCATTACCAAAGCAGGAAAACAGGGTATTGTTAATATTTAACACTGGAATGACAACAAACACCTAATTGAAAGTTAAGCTGGTAATATATTCAGAAAATAAAAACTCCCGTAAGAGAATAGTCAAAGAGACTAAAGCACAGTGGATGACTCAAACCAAATAAGAGGGATAACCTAGTAACTGGATTATTTCCAATTCTGAATTAACAAAATGCAAAAGTAAATAAAAACGGGAAAGAGCAAGGCTACCAGACATTTATTGCAAATGTTATGATGTCTGTTGAAAATCTCAGTACATAAGTGAAGTACAAGTAACTGTAGAAAAAGTTGAATACTATCATTGTAATGATGACATACCAAAAAATATACAGAAGCCACAATGTTGATTCCAGTATTGACAACACCTTCCATTTTTTTAACTGAAGGTTCAGGTAAGGTTTCATAGAGTGCAAACAGCTGCCTACAAGTAATTAATCAAAATATTGTTTTAAGTGAAATGTACACTTAAATGATTAAATGTTAAATTAAATTAATGGTGGGATTACTTTGAATCATTAAATAATTTTGTTGACATTTTTGGTCATTATCAAAGATCAACATACCTAAAACAGTTAGGAAATTCCATTCAAAAACTGATTGAACCAAAACATAACATTATAAAAGTCATGAAGCATAATTTGACAACAAAATTACTGTATAACCACAATTTCATCCCAAGATGGCCTAAAAGGTTGAACACATTTTGCTAAAACATGGAAAATAACAAAGACCCTTACCACATACCTCTTACAGTCATGTATGAAATCGCAGATAAATGCAAAATTCACACTGTTGTACACCGAAATTTAAATACTCTCTGTTATTAAAATACTCTGTGCAAAGAACTCTTTTACTGACATGCCTAGGTGTCTCAGGCAATCAAGTTTTATTCTTCAGGCAATTAGTACAGATCAATTTTTTTTATCTGAACACTAGATTCTTTAGTAAAACATTTTGGCACCCTGCAGTTGTCCCTAGAGAATGCCATTAATTTATTTGAATCAAAGAAATAATCAACTTCAAGTTTCTAATTGCTCCCCTCCTCACCCTCACTCCATACATATAGTTACACTTTAAACAACTCCATGTCAAAATTGTAATTATCAACAGTGAATGTATATAATTAATTTTTTGTGTGTAAAAATAAATTGATAACTCAAAAAATTGTTCTTCCAGGTTTTAAAACCAAAGTAATACTTACGTTTGGCAAGTAAATGCTAATGCAAAGATGGGCAAATAGTGGAGAAGTTTCTCTGGTCGCCAGTAATTTAAGTCGTACAACCAAGATCCTTCCATGATCTTTGGCAATGCACTCAAAAATGCCTGTAACAAAAGATAAGGACCACAATAAAATCTATAAGCATGTTCCACTAACAACATTTACTTACATCCTTTTCAAAGATCTCACAAGAGACCTCATTAGGAAATACATCTAGTAGATAGCAAACAAAATAAATTCTTAACTTACCTGTAGAACAAAAAATCCATAAAACAGCAGGGCAGCAGAACTGAAGGAAGCTAAGCTTTGAAGATTTCTCATCAACGACAAGGGTAACCCAACACCAAATGCAAGTACTGTCATGAGAACTGCTCTCATAGTCCATGACACCTACACAATTGTACGAGACAGTGAATGGTCTCAGTAGTCAAATGAGGCTTCACATAAACATTAAATGTGATATGAAAACCCCTATTAAGTGAAACTAATTCTAGTTTTCATTCGCCAAGTTTCATTTATCCTTTCACTGGTGTGATACCTTAAATTTCACATATTTTATCACATGACTGTTACATTACAGAAGGCTGGCCATACCTGTAATCCACTTAAATTCTGAAATATTGAAGGAACCAAGTCTCCAATGATAACATTGAATGCTATAAGAGTTCCTAGAAGAAGACCAATAATACTGAAACAAGAAAGAGAAAGCAATCATTTAACTAAGAATAATAAATTAAAGTAATTCATGAATTTGATAAGGGTGATCACTACATGCAAAAAGATATTACAACATTCCACTTGGAAACTAGTCTGGAATACACTGTCAAGCTGGAAATTCCTTTTCTTAAAAGAAGAAATTGTGTGGCCATTGTAAAGATTTGTGATTGGCCACATAGGCCATTATTATCCTCCTTTTCACTGATTTTTTTTTTCATTTATTTATTATTAAAGATGGTATATTCTCTGGTGTTGACAGACTTCTACATAAGGTCACCCAATGCATATGTTACTGCCAATAACTTAATTTTTGTGTTAAAGACAAAAATACATGCATTGTGTAGATGTTTTTTAGAGTTATCAATGTTAATTTTCACTAATGTGTAACCTTGTACCACAAAAGCCTTTGACTTTAATTGAAGTGTATGTTTGGCACTTATGATTCATGCCATTTTTATCATACAAAAAGGTGCTCGAGATTAGCTCCATACATGCAGTTCACATTCTTTACTCTTCTGTATCAACATGTATAATCCATTTCCTTTTAAACCAATTACCTTGCTTCCACAGCAAACTTTCCTGGAGCACCATAAGTAACCAATGCTGAAGGAAAGCATTAGAAATTTAAAAGTATTTAAATAAAAACAAATGATAATTGGTCTGTTAGCACTACAGTAACTGTAGCAAAAATATAAAATTAATTGATCCCCAAACTCCAAATTGGACCACCAAATTTTCCCTACCAAAGTTGAGGAAAATTTGCAAACATACTTTTAAAATTTTTTTTTCATACCAATAACAGCCATGGCCATATGATCCTAAACATTTTATGATATCTCAACTCTTTAAATTTCACCATGTGTGAAATTTAGGAATACATAAATAAAAAACTTCTTTATGCAGTCAGGGCGCCATTTTGGGGGCTTCTCTGGAAAAGAAGAATGTTGAGTAATTCTTTTATTGGACACTAATGGCACCTGTTTTGGAACAAACATGTTGACCATAATATCATTTTGGCTTACATTTTAGGCTTTAAATGTGATTTTTGCATAGTATTTTGTAGGCTCTTAATGTATTTCTTAAATTCTATTGTTGTATCTTTATTAGGCTCTTTGAATGTGATAGTTCATGAGAATTCTTAATGTAAATTAATTTTTAAAGATACAGGGCTGGTACGGAGACTATCCTTGGAGCTGAATGAGCTACCCTGTGTAAATAAAGGTTTCTTTTTTTCCTTTAGGTATTTATTTTCCAATTTCCTTGTTAAAATTCCTTCCTTCCTTCCAATAAATGTTGTATTAACAGTGAAAAGTTAATCTGTGTGTGTCTGTGGTCTGAAAGAGCCCAAGCACCACAGCCCACAAACCATTCTCACTTTGGGAGAACTTTTAAGAGCTGGGCAGCTTAGATTTTTGGGCCATCATGCACTCACTGATTTTTCAGCTGTACTCTGTGGGGAAAAAATATTATTTTCAACTTCAAAGAAGTTTACAGCAGCTATTGGGTTGTTGTTCCCTTTCAAATGAGTGTTTGAAAGGAAAATGTTTAAACCTTAATGTAAAATCATTACAAGTAAACCTTCCATTTAAACTACCTCCAGATTTTGATTCTTTGATTCAAATTCCTCTCTAGTACTGTTTTCTCAAAATGTCTAGTAACTCACCTAACCCTTCATAGTTCCGTCTCCGTGCCACCTGACCTGTCTTAAGAAGTAACCCACAAGACTTCTTTGTAAGCAAGGAGCTACTTACAATTGCTACTCCACAAAGTACGATGCCACACTGATGAAAAGGAGTAAAAGAAAACAAAAGTGGTATAACATTCCACTTCTTAGCTGTATTTTTTGTGATTAATCTTACAAAATCCATGCAGATAAACAAAAGTTTTAAAGGTACAATTATACAATATATACTCAGGGCTTTCATTAGAAGCCGGCTACTGCCGGAGCTCCGGTGGCTGTGAGTCATCAAGTCACCGGCTACTTGGCCATGTTTGTCAGCAAATACTTAAAAAATATAACTCTTAAAATGTTTAAAGCCTACCCATTTTTCAGTTGAAATAAATCTGATAAAATATAGTGCACTCTTGCCTTGAGAATTTTGGAATAAAGCATATATCAATACGATTTCTGTACTGCGACGGATCGCAACTGATTGAGGAACGCTCAGCCATTTTCGGTGTAAATTTAAGGGTGGGGTTGCAGCTTGGGCCTTGGTAAGTCACGTGACAAGCACTCCTGCCAAACTCAATTACCTTACATGTTCACAAAAGCTCTTGAAAAACACACAGAAATCTGCCAATTAAAGGGTTAATGGTATGCATCATTAACTTTACTTTCTCATGCCAGGAATGCTGGAAATCACATTTCCAAGCTTCTAAATTTCAAAATTTTCTGGGGGAGCATGCCCCCAGACCCCCCCTAGAAAATAATCACAGCCACCTACTATTATATGGGCAGACACCTACTTCAAATCTTATTGAAAGCCCTGATATACTTATTCTACCTATTTATTCCTGTTTTAAAAAAAAAAACGTTGCAATTTGAAGATCTATATGAAATATGTACACCTCTCTTTGTCCAATAAAAGGTGTAGACATAATAAATGTCCAGGAACAATTTTTCAAAAAGAGAGTAAAATAAATGTTTTTCTTCAAAAAAGGTCTTGTCAACGGAAAAAAATTGATTATGAAAATCAAACTATAAAAAACTAGAAACAACACAGCTGCGTGTGCATAAAGTGCAAGCCAACAAATCCTAACATTTGTCTAAATACTGCCTTAGGTGAAGCAATGAAGATGTATTGAACCTATGTGGCATGTAACATATTCTATGTTTACGGTTTGAATGACAATCGCAAGTTCGATATGCACAATGATGAGGCATAAATATGAGAATGGAAAACTGATTGGCCTACATTTTCAGGTTAGTATTAAGAACCACCATTTTACAAATGAAGATATCTTTGTTTAATTCAATTAAGCGTTGTTGTGGTGATCAACCAAAATTCCATAAATGTCTTCTCGACTAATTCACGGATAGATTTAACAACAAAGGGCGAATATCGTGTGTCTTTGTACATGTGAACTTACGTGACAAACTTGAGTAAACAGTGTAAAGCATAATATAAGAAGATCATTTGCAAAATAAACTGAAATAAAAGAAGTTTATCTTCCAGCGAGGGTCGAAATAAGAAGTTTTCAAAGTTTACCTCTTGAAAGCAGAAAGGCATCGCCAAAACACTGACTCCAATGATGCAGTTGATCAAATTAAATATAACAGGCGTGGTACTCATTGGGGAAATTCCAGATAGAAGAAAAAATTCCACAGGGCTAATATATAAGTCGTTTAAAAGTTCAGATCCTTTCTATTGACGTTGATACTCCACTCTCACCACGCATGCAAATGAGGCTTGGTTGCTCAGATTAAAACTTCTTCCAGGGAACACCCTACCCTACATGGTAAATTATCATAACGAAAACGAGGTTATTTAGTAAATTTCCCACAATACCAAACCATCGTACATCCTTTTCGTTCCTCAAAATGGTGAGTTATGGGACTAATTCTCAACTTGGCGAAAGTATCCTCCTTAATCTTTGTCATCATGGAAGTGTCTACATTTATTTCCCTGCAAACATTTAATACAACTCTCACTGTGATGATGTCTTAATCTTTTAGGGGATAGACATCAAACGGAAGCACGTTAAGAAGAGGGCACGACAAGAGCCTGCCTCACAGAATGTCTACCTGAGGCTCCTTGTGAAGGTTTGTAGTATTTGGCTATTCTTCGTTTGAATCTGATTTTTGTTGAGATGAAGTTCTGACGAATTTTAATTAATTTTCTTCTTGCAGCTCTACCGTTTCTTGGCCCGCCGTACAAATGCAACTTTTAATAAAGTTATTCTGAAACGTCTTTGCATGAGTCGTGTGAATCGGCCACCTCTCGCTCTTTCTCGTATGGTAAGATTCACGTCCTCTATATCGTTATCAGTTCTTTTTTCTTTCTTTCTCTAATCGATCACTGTACATAATGGGAAATCATATATACTGTTGATTTTTTTCGTATCTTCCATCAGGTGAGAAAAATGAAAGCAAAGGGTGACTTCTCAGGGAAAATTTGTGTTGTTGTTGGAACTATCACAGATGATTTGAGGTTGTATGAGGTGCCGGCATTGAAGGTTAGTCCTACAGCCATAGGTTTGTGATTTGACTTTCTTTTAGCAAGATGCCTGGAGAAACCTTGCTCTTTTCCATTGATGTTTGGCTCAGTTAGAGATGTTGGTAAATTATGTTGGAGAGAAAATAATAGCCGAAACCTACTTTTTGTTGTACAAGAGGGAGGAAAATTTGTTTGGGTTTGGCAATATACTGCAAATGGGCAAAGTAGTTTGCAGGTATGATAAGTTTTTTGGGCCTCATACATGTAATAATCACTCCAGTGTTAGATCTAGCAGGCAACAGGAGTTTCTCTGGTAGCTTTGACTGTGAGTAGTTTTCTTCAGTGTCCTCCTGATTAAAGTAATTTAGTGTATGCTTTCCCCTTTGTCTTGAAGGTTTGTGCACTTCATGTGACTGAGGGGGCACGTGCAAGGATTTTGAAGGCTGGTGGAGAGGTTATCACCTTTGACCAGCTTGCCTTGAGGGCACCTAAAGGAAACAACACTGTGTTGCTTCAAGGTAATTTGCATGTGTCTGGTGTGGAATGAATGATATATTGTATTAACTTAAGTTGGAAATAGAGATGGGTTCCTTAAAATTGATGTATGACTGGAGACTACTTCAATAATAGAAGTGTTATTTTGTTCAGCAGCAATTATTTGTTGCTGATTTTTTAAATTGCGATGGTCCACAGGCTGGAGTAAATTGAAATTTTTCCTGTTAGAAGTGAGTACGCTCTTATGGGTAAAGGGTCCCAAGGGTTTTAAGATTTATAAGTGTAGGTATTATTGTTATAAAGTAACTATTTGTTTAACATGGGCATATAACTGCAATGTTACTGAAAGCCCAGTGCTAGTGAACCAGAGTTACTAGGTTTCATGATTTTAATGATATATTGAAGTTTTGTATAGATGTGGATTAGCAGAGAGTTGACAAGAGTTTTTCACCTGTTTTCTTTTATTTTGAGCATTTTTAAAAGCACAGGACTTTGTTACTCTGCAAAAAGAAAAAAAATAATATATATACATAATACATATTGACATGATGTTAATTCTGTAGCACCTTGAAGGCTACTTAAACATACTAAAGCTCCCCTTTGAACTTGGCTGAATCCAATATGCTCATTTCCAATTCTTTTTTTAAATGGTATGATAGGTGTTTTGTTTGTGATGGGTTTGGGTCCTAGGAAAGCCCGCACATGATGATAAGACACGACGGTCTTCTAATGCAAACAGCAATTGATGAATTCGTAGTGGTATTCTGATGTGGGTAATCTTAATCCATTCATGTAACACTACATTTCACTGCCATAATTTCAAGGTTACAACAGTAGCTCTTCTTTCCCACTATTCTTCAGAATGGATTACAAAACACTTGTCTTTTTGTTTTAGGGCCGAGGAAAGCTCGTGAAAGTGTGAGACACTTTGGCCCTGCCCCAGGTGTTCCACACAGCAAAACAAAGTAAGTGTGTACTTAAGTCAGTAGAGAGGAAGATTGTACATGGAAACATTGGGTCAGGAAGTTTGAATAATATAATCTTATTACAACAAAAAAAGAGAGGAGTGTACTTTTGAGTCACAAAAGTTTATAGTTTGTCAATGACATTGTGAGGTTTTCAGTGTTCCCCGATTCATCATTATTGGCTTGTCATCTACCATGCACTTTAAACTGTCAAGGGAAACCTATATTCACAAATTATGCATGTGGGCATATTAACGTTCCTTTCTTGGGAGAATTTGTCTGCCACTGAATCTCTCCCTGTCTTTGTCATCATCGTGCTGTTGCTATTTATAGTCATTCTTGACTTATTAGGTCTAAGCTGAGAAAAAAGCCCTAATCTTTTCTAACTTGTGCTCATTTTTGTTTTGAAACTTGATTGGTTTACAGCTGTTTTTTTTTTTTTAACTTGTACCAGCTGTTTGGTTCAAGCCAGGTTTTACAGGTCTGTATTCAACAAGCTCACCTGTTTTTTCCATAGTGGTAATCATCCTGTTTTCATTTGTTTTACAGGCCATATGTTCGCTCCAAAGGACGCAAATTTGAAAGAGCTCGTGGTCGCAGAAAGAGCCGTGGTTTCAAAGTGTAGAGAAGATGTGGAGGCCAAATGCACAATAATAAAGTTGTTTCTCAACCTAATATTGAAGGATGTCCTCCTTCTTTTTATTAAGTTATTACTTTCATCCCCAACTGCCTATGAGTATTGTCTCTAGACATCCAAACCTCTTTTACCCTCTCACATACCTGTGAAACTCAGTCATGTAATTCTATGGCAATTTGATTTTTGCAATGTGTACTTCACTGTGTGTTTCAGAGTAGTATTCACTCTTCAGTTTAATTACAAGAGTTACCCTAAGTCAGAAATCAAATTATCACATTGAATGGATTTCAAGGGTGTCAATCATTTAAGTGCTAAAGGAGATGTATATGCTCAGATTCATATGCTTCAAAAACTATTCAATTTTTATCTCCATTGTTAAAAGTATCAATCAAAATCTACTTCTTTTGAGCATATCAGATTCTGAAATGTAATCTAACCATTCAAAAATCGTCTTCAAATGGGCAAAGAAATCATCTCTGGCACCATTTCAAACAGCAGTCAGCAATGTGCTGACTAAATGTACTGTGGAAAAAATTTCTAGTGCTTTCAACAATGTAGCTATCTCAATAGAATATTCCCACAACTGAGGTGAATAGTACTTGCCAAACACTTGTACACCAGCTAATCAGGTACATGTATGTAGTAAACCTGGAAATTTTTATCAACTGCAAGTATTTAGATAAGAATTTAAGGTAACTAAGTCATTTTTCCCACTTTTATTCTTCAGTTCTGTCCTCATTTGACAATTTTGTGTTTAGAATTTTGTTCACAAAATCAAGTAAGAAGGTTTGTGAGAAAAGAAACTTTCTCAACCTTGAATCATGCAAAAGTAACCTTGAATCTAAAGCCACTTGATTCAAGTTCTTACTCTAAAACTGATTCAAACCACTCCCTTGACAGTTGAGTAACAAAAGAGGAGTATTTTTTCATAGAAATACTGCTTCATGCTTGGTTGCTACAAACATTGGTTTTCAAAATTCTTTTATTTGACTGAATGAAAGTAACATTTCCCTGACAAATGAAATATCATATGAAACAGAGGAAATATAGCAAACCTCTTCCCAACAGCCATCCTAACCACTCATCTTGATGATTTGCCACCATCGTTCAACATAGAGAAAGATTTACAGTGACTAAGGCTAAGTTAAATTATTGAGATCCAAGAGACTAAGGAAAACCATCAATGGCAATGTAACTGTTCTGTGGTTTAATGTCTACAGCCATGCTCCCACTAACTAACATTTCACTTTCAAACAAGACAATGTAACTCCCATCTTTGAAAACACCTTGAGAAAAAGCAATTTCATTCCCGAGTATTTTTGGAGGTACAAGAAGAATGATTGGAAGAACACCCCAGACTTCATGCCAGTCTCCAAAAATTACATGTACATCTTGGAGCTCCAATGAAGATGCAACACTTTCCTTTTATCTTACAACGAAACTACCATATCCTGGTACTTTTGTTATAAGATCTGGAAGAACATATAGCTGTCAGAGAAGCCTACTTTCTAGTTAAATCATGTCTCTGATCCAGATTCATGCTGATTCATTTTAAGTCCTAGCTCTCATTGGCATTCATTAAAATATCAGATTTCCTTTGCTTGCTTTCCCTTAAATCTGTAGATTGATTTTTTTTCACTCCTAGATCTCCTCGCAGATTTTCTACTATAGACTGGAATCCCTTCTTTTCTTTAGTTTCCAGAGTTTTCCTTAGTTCTTTTAGTTTATCTCTGTCACCTCTTAAAGGTTCTTGCATCTTTAGGTTCTGCTTAACAGATCTCTCAGTGTTACTACTTGCTACTCCTGTCATATTTTTAAAATCTATGTTTGACTGGACAGCTCCATTTGTGTGGGTATCCATAGAGTCATTGCATCCAGAGCAGCTCATGTTTAAGAGCTTCCTAAGTTTTTGTACCTCAGCCAAAAGATCGCTGTAAGCCTACGAAGAAATAAAGTGATCAATTATCAGCAGACAAAATAATCTTGCAACTAAAATTCTTAAATGAAAAATTTCTTTGAATAGTATTTATTGGAGCTACACTTGAAAAAATTTAGTAATCATCTCACATCCATTTTGTATAAGAACCTATAATACATTTTTTGCATACCGAAAAATTGAATTACGGTCAACTCGCCGACGGACCAACTCGCCGACGCCAACTCGCCGACGTATAAAATCGAGTAGAGACGTCGGCGAGTTGGTTGTCAATCCAATACAACTTATTAGAAGTTAAACATACAGAAAAGTAAACGATATTTAGTAAAAAAACACTGGTGAACATTGGTGAACATCAAACAGAAGCTTAAACATTGGTGAATATTGGTGAACATCACCAATGACTATAACAGCTTAAGACGCGAACGAGTTATTGTGCGACAACAACACCGTAAAGACTCATCATGTCAATCGCTCAGATTTTTTAACAAAAACTTGGCTTTCTAGACGAGATCTTTAGGAAAAAGCATTTCTTTTTATTTGCAACAAAGTTTATAAGGATCTCAAGGCGAATAAAGGGAAGTAAACATCACCAATGACTCTATACAGCTTCAAACGCGAACGAGTAATTGTGTGACAACACTGTAGACTCATCATGACAATCGGTCAGATTTTTAAAGAAAACTTGGCTTTCTAGACAAGATCTTTGGTAAAAAGCAATTATTTTTATTTGCAACGAAGTTTATAAGGATCTTAAGGCGAATAAAGTAAAGTAAACATCGCCAATGACTCTAACAGCTTCAGACGCGAACGAGATAATTATTGTGTGACAACAACACCGTAAAGACTCATCATGTCAATCGCTCAGATTTTTTAACGAAAACTTGGCTTTCTAGACAAGATATTTAGTAAAAAGCAATTCATTTTATTTGCAACAAAGTTTATAAGGATCTTAAGGCGAATAAAGCGAAGTAAACCTCACCAACGACTCTAACAGTTTCAGACGCGAACGAGTTATTGTGTGACAACAACACAGTAAAGACTCATCATGTCAATCGCTCAGTTTTTTTAACGAAAACTTGGCTTTCTAGACAAGATCTTTAATAAAATAAAAAGAATTGCTTTTTACTAAAGATCTTATCAAGAAAGCCAAGTTTTCTTAAAAAATTTGAGCGAGTTGTATTAGATTGACGACCAACTCGCCGACGTCTCTACTCGATTTTATACGTCGGCGAGTTGGTCCGTCGGCGAGTTGACTGGTTACCGAAAAATTAAGCCCTGATGGTTGATTGATGTCATGCTAAATTTGTGATAATGTTCAACAAACCAGACCATAGTCAATTTGCAGACCAGAAAGTAAGTTGAATTGCCAGGATTCAGAATTCTATCTTCAAAATGTTAAATTATCAAATTTTAGGGACCACATATACCTTGGAACACTCTTCTTTAGAATGAAAGCTGGCAATCTTTCCTTTATGGTCATCGCCAGCGTGTGAGTTAAGATCTCCTACAAATGAGCTGTTTTTGCTACCTTTTTCATCTTTCCCTTTTTCTTTGTTGCTGTCATTTGGAATCAAGTTTTCCTTTTGGAAAAGAGCTTTTCTGTACTTGTTGTAGCCTTGAAGAGTCAGCTCTTCGCGATAGAGTGCTTCTTCAATCTGTTCCCACTCTTTCTGGCCCTCAGCACTTAGCACTGGATAAACTATAGAGTGAAATCATTAAAGCACTTCATCAATCAAGGATGTAATTGCATTAATTAAAATAACATATTGCCACCTCCCTCATCCTCCACATTCCTCTCTCTTCTCCTCTCTATCCCCTCCCATCCCCCCTCTTCCCCTCTCTTCCCCTCTCTATCCCCTCTCACCCCCCTCTTCCCCTCTCTATCCCCTCTTCCCCTCTCTTCCCCTCTCTATCCCTTCAGGGATAATTTTCCTTGTCTATAAAATTGGTATAACATTACTGTAGCTGTTCCACTTAACAAAGGAGGTCTGTGATGAAACTTTTATAAGGGCTTAAAAGTGCCATTCTTTTTTCAGCAAATTTGCCTTGGGAAGTTTTCCTTGAAACTCTGCTATCGCAAAATATTTCTTAATGAGCACACTTGTAGCAAAAACACAATGAGACAGTGTTAAAATGCAGTTTTTGTTATCCTCTCTAAATTAAAACTTAGCTTATGCTGCAGTGTGAAAAAACAAACAAACAAATAAACAGGGTTAAAAAAATTAATCTCACTCATTGCCCCATTTTGTTTTTAATTAGTTGTTATTACAAATATTAAATACTACGTAACAATTTTGGCTCTTTACTATGACGTTTCAGAACATTAGAGTAAAAAGGTTTTCATACTCAAATGTTTACATGTGCAAAACCTTGATCAAGCTGATTGAGATTTTTTTTACCTTCCCAGTTAAAGGAAATGAAAGACTGTATATGAATATGTAAAATGTGCACACTTATCATAATGATAGCAAAGATTTTTTTTTTCATAATTCCACATCATATCAAAATTGAAATTGAAATGTTTGTATGTTCAAAATGTTACTACAACTATTCTGATGTAATTACACAAAACTTAATTACCTAGGAAGGCATCTATAGGACAAGCCAGTGGTGTCTCAAATCTTAATTCATAATGACAAATAGTGGGCTCTACTACAGAGATAACCTTGTTATGATCTCCACATCTAAGAAATACCTGTAGAATTTCAAAAGGAGCAATATTATATTACTGATACTTCATTGTTGAAAAATGCTACATACTTAGTATATAACATTATATATATATTGTAAAATAGGTTGTGGTTAGTTATTGTGGTAAATAACACTTCAAAAGAGGAATATATTAATTATTTGTATCATGATATGGTTTGTCCCACATCGTGAGAGAAGCAATTATATTCCTCTTTTGAAGTAGTTATGTAATTATACTTCTCAATTGTCTTTACTGACCCTTTCCACAAATAATTCAACTGGAAGGAGCACACAAATTAACGATAAATGAGCATCAAACTATGTCTAAAAACAATTTTGCAATAGAAAAACTGACACAGGAGGCAGCAAAAGTATCACTGGTTAAGTACACAAATTGGTTGCACCATTAACGAGGTTGTGACATTAGAAATTTTATTTTAAAGGATGAGTGACATTAATCTCATGCTAATTATGCAAATTTGCTTCAATGTGTTTATTCCTGTAAAAATGTACATGGAAAAATTATGCACTTCTGATTTGTTGTCTTTGAAAAATTAACTTGTGCTTATTAACACCAAATTATACTCGGAATCATGTTATTACCTATACTTGAAGTGAATTGATTTTTTTGCATATAGTTTCGCTAGGCTAGTGTGTTTGCAGATAAAATCTGATGGCTATTCATACTAATAGAAAGCACCTCACATATAATTATCAAAAGATATAATAATCAGAAAAAAATCTGAGGAGTTCAAAGTACACCTTTGTCTGTCTTGGTTTCTCACCAGGACACATGTCACCATTAGCTAACAGCATGGCTTCAAATGTGTTGTTCACAATGACCCATTCTTTCCAGACACTGTTAAAAAATAATCAACCATGGCAGTTGCATGCTTCTAATCTTTCCTAGAACAATTTTGGTGGGATTGCAAATACTTTTGTCAATACTCAGAATACACAACAATTTTTTATCAGTCTGTTATATCTGTTATATCTTTATTAATAAATTAATTTTTAATTTAATTTGTAAATTAATTGAAGCTATTTTGATTAGTAATTTGGAATGGGTACTATATAATATTGATTTGCACCACTGCTAATTCTAATTGATTTACAATTCAGTACCATATTGTACATTAATCATTTTCATAGCTGTCCTCATGATTTTAATTATCATCAAGACATTTTTTATAGCAACCATATGTAAACACTCAAAGACATGACTGTGTTTTAAGAACATGCTGAGCTTTTTTTTAAATAATTAAGAAAAATCCAAAAGTCCTTTTAGCCCTTTTTACTCCCAGAAGTAACAACTCAACATGTAACTTCTTCCTATAATATTCATATGTTGTCCAAGAAACAAGTGATGAGTTACTCAAACTTTTTGGAAGAAGATCTTGATCAGATACAAAATTCTGGTAGACAATTTACAATAATGATAATAATAATAATATTTATTACTTGTAATGCACATTTTATAGGTGCATATGATCAAATGCATAGCAGCCACAAGGGAGATTTAATCATCAGATCTTGGGAGTTGAAGGGTTAAAGTTAGAGTAATTCATCACTTCATGGGTTCATTATGAACCAATACAATGACCAGCTCCCAGTTGCTTCTTAGCTCAGTCGGTAGAGCACTGCACAAGCATGGCAGAGGTCATGGGTTCAAATCCTGTACAGGCCTGAATTTTCACTACTGCTTAAAATAAATGGTATTCATTATGTAAAGATCGGTTTCATATTCAAATTATACATGATTACTGATTAAAGTAGAAATGTCTCACCCCAAAACTCCAGAAAATGCATTCCATCTTACTGTCTGTTCCTTTTGTGTCACATTGTGGAATGGACAAAACTCATACTTGTACCTAAAAGACACATTTGATCAGTGTTGAAGGCTACTATTACATGATCTGAATTAATGATCACATAGCAGATATCTTTTTAGACAAAAATGGTTCAATTCAACAATATGACACCCATGTACAGGTTGGTGCAAAGTACATGTTGCTAGGCATTACTGCGTTACTGTACTACAGTACACACCATGACACATGTAAGTATTTCTATAAAGTTAATACTGTTCAATTACTTTTTAATGCAATTAAAAAAAAACCTTTATACCCACACAAATATTAGTATAACATCTTGTGACAGTTCAAAGAGCCTGCTATATCACACGATTGATTTAATTTTGTTATGTGACCTTGATATAGAGGTGGCTCTGTGCAACTTGTTTGATCAAATAATTATAGTCTATTACAATCGTCATGATCAAACATGGTAAATCAAGTTTATGAAATATTTACAGTGGACAGAAGGAAGAGGCAATAATACATGAAAATCAAATGTTGCAGATCATTTAAAAGATGTACTTCACTCAGCCAATCATACTCCAAAAATAATGTTTCACAACACATGTCATCTGAAAGTTCTCATGATTTAACACACAATTATGACTCACATCTTACCCATTATGTATCAATGTAAAGCATTTTCCAGCCAACACTTGGAGATGTGGTGGACCTGCAAGGCACAAAAAGTTTAATTTTTTAATACAAGTGGACATTTTATTAAGGCAAGAGGTGTCATAATTACTTTTTGAACTATCATAATTCAAAAATTATTTCAGTTGTAAAACTTGCTCTAGCTGGTGACCTTACCTTGCTCTGTTTTTCACAGATTTAATAGTCTATCATATATCATGACACCATCTTTCAGGCATTCTTGGAAATTAATAGTTAATTGGAATGGTCAAAAAATCAATCAAAATGCATATTAATGTTGAGTGGCTGAAAATTTATAGACACCTTAAACTCCCAGTGGTTCCTTGGAACACTTACTGTGAAGCTCAGAAACCGAGCACACCAGAAGTACTTGTGGAAAATTATTGCTTTTTAAAGAAAAAAGCTACTCAGGCGTAAGGCAACTGAACTGCAAACAGTAACAGTAACAGTAACTACAATAACTACAGTAACAGAAACAGTAAACTTTGTGCTTTTGAGATTTCCTTGAGTGTTCTAGACTTAATTCTGAGTGACCAGGATACAACAATTGACCTATCAGAATGGAATCAAAGTGTTCTCAGTTTTCTGAGTTTCACAGTTACAGTAATTCCAGTAACTACCCATCATTGTGCTTAGCATTCTAACCAAGACTGCAAAGAGAAAATATGATTCCATTTTTAGATACATTTAGCTGGAAAGAATGAATATATTAAAAAAAGTGCTTTGTTTACCTGACACAGCACTAGGTTTTACTCTGGCAGCAAGCTATAAGGTAAACACAAAAATGATTAGAATCCATGAAACATATGATATATGAAAAACATAAGGCCTCTATCAATAGTACTATCAGAATACTTGAGCAAGTTAAACAGTAATACCTTAGTTTCACTTTGAGATATATGTCTAGCAGGCTGATAACTATTACTCCTGACAAAGCAAAAAGCAAACGATGTATCAAATGCACATGCAGACTGCAAGCAAGAGTATTGATATCTAACTATTAATATTATTATTATCATCATTATCATAATGATTGTTATCATTATCACTATTATTATTATTATAATTATCATTATGATCATTAATTAACAGAATCTAACAATAATATGATCATCACATTATCATCTGTTTTTGTTGATTTTATCACTATCTGTATACTACAAGGTGCAACTCATATGATTATAGGTACATATGCCTTTAATAAAAACCAAATTAACAGACCCCAAGAAATCTGTGAACCAACTTAATACCATGATATTTGAGCTAATTAAGATAATATAAATCAGTTTTATTATGCACAACTGACATTTCCCAGTTGACCAACAATGTGTGAAATAGAGTTAAATAGAAAAAGTTCTTCCCTTTAGTCCAACAATGCCCTTGTTTGTTTTTCATTATTTTGAGGTTATCAATCACTAGTAAGCCATTGTTCAAACTGATACTGTACTTTAACCAGTGTATGGGTAAATACATTAATTCCTGCTTTCAAATAATGTCCTTATGTCAATCATCATTACGTCATCTTGCAATGGTTAAGCTTTGTTAGTCTAAGAGTAAACTCACATTTGTCCAGATCTGTAGACTGCTGGTGCTTCAACAATTTTCACCTTTTCAGGCCTGGAAACTAAACAATTTTTATGTAGACCATTAAAGTTTCTAACTAAGTAAAGAAAATTTCAGTTGCTATGGGCATAATCTATTTCTGTCCCAATTTTTGGACAGGTGCATGGTTTGCCTGCACCATAGTTACAGGGAGAATTAACAGACTTTCAAAAATGAAAGAATGGTGGACAAAATTACTAGTTCTTCATCAAGGTCATCATCTGATCCAAAGTAATCTTTCCATTTGTTTGATGACTTTAAATCTAATTTCTATTCGTACCACTGCACCAGTCGCGAAGGAAAACGAGGTACTGTCTGCTTTCCACTATAAAATACAAATGAACGTTCCTTAAACCCATAAAACTATAGAATACACCGCCACTTAATCGTAGTAGTATCTCAGTAGTATCCACTGTGGACCTACACCCTATGGTTATTGTTGTTCGAATTGATTTTTTTCAGTTTCTCAAGCTGGATCATGAGCGAAACACTAAAACTGACTAAACGTGAGCTACGAAGCTAATAACCTTAATTAGAATAGCGTGATTGCAAAACGGTGGCCAAAAAGACAGATCGTCACTGGTTATTACCATTTAAATCATAATAATATAGAGACTGCATTTTCATCATAATGTTTGTTTGAATATAACGTCTAGTCACTGCATGTGCATCTAAGTAGTAAGCTAAAGCTCAGAAAGGTACAAAATGTATATTTAGAAAACACCTCACTGATAAATTACTTCAAACAAATTATTTGCAGCTAGATATCAAAGGAGGTAGTATTAGGTCGAAAGAGGACATGAAAATATTCAGGACTTACCTTCAATAAATAAGAATAACATAAAAATGGAAACTAAACCATGGCTTAGTCTTGCATTATGCGCTATGACTGCCTCCATTTTGTATTTCCAAACTTGCGCCTGCACTAGCTATGTAAAGCAGTCATCTCAGCCCCAACTTATCGCTCGATTTTGAAAATGGCGGCAACCAAAAGGAAATTCACTGTTCCATCTCTAGAAGAGTTGGACAAGGATGTACAAGAATCCAGGCGTAATCCAATATTTAATACGTATAAGACATCCAGCAAGGATATCGAAGAAAGTAGGGATGGTACTAACTCGGCAACAAGTAATGCTGGTGATTTAAAAAGACACGAAGTCAACAACCTTGGAAGCAAATCTGAGCTAACACTGAATGGAGGGACAGGATTACTCAACAAAAACTGCGTTCCAAAACAGGATTCTGTCCCTTTTCGGGAAATTCTACCTGCCCAGAACAAGGTTGAAGGAGAAGGAAATAGTAGCAGTGATTGTTCTGTCAAACCTACCGTGGGAAAGACATTCCGAGAGACGTTTGCATTTCTGGAGGAGACGAATCATTTTAAAGAGACAGTAGCAAAAATAAAGGAAAAAGAGTGGGTTTTGATTCAATGTGTCAATGGGCTCTATAACACAGACTTATCTCTTCATATGCTTGAGCAGTAGCCGGGAAGAAATAATTCCCTTAGACTCACCCTAATTAGTTTAAATGTCAATGACCGTGTAGTACACGTTTTACTTCATATTATATTCTTCCAGAGGAGGAATTTCCTCCTTCAGATTTGAATTTTCCCATGAGCTTGCAGGAAATATTGAAAATAATTATTTGCAAAACTGTCATTTCAACCCCTTTAACTCCCCTGACCCCTGAGTGACTAAGACAGAATTTCTCCTTACAATAGCAATACATTATCAACCAGATGAGTGATGAGAATAAAGAAAAAATATCAATTTGGGGATAATTAGTTGATCCAATCCTAAATTCTCTGAACTAACATTATAAGAATTGTATGGTTGACAGTAAAGAGAATTACAAATTTGATCTGGGAGTTGAAGGGTTTTAACGGTTGTTCTTTTCTGTTAATCCCTCCACATTCCTATTGTTGCATTCTTAATCCCTCCACACTCCTAGTGTTGCATTCTTTGTTACATTGTACAGAGTTTTCTTCAGGTAGTTGTTACCTGATCCCTATTGAACACAAAGAGTGTTATTTCCTTTCTTGAAGTTATCAGTAACTTCAAATTGCCATTTTGTGTACCTCAAGTAGGGTTTATAGGCAAGTAGACCCATATGTAGATTTAACAGCCTGCAAAATATTTTGATGTGTTATCATGACATTATTACTCGTGTTCTCATTGCAGATCAACAATAGATGTCAACAGTTCATCTGTACCTGTGACTTCAAAATCAAACAGAAATGCTATTATTGTTAATCCAAGACAGGTAATAATGATGGGTACCATGATATATAAATTTTAACCTTTAACTCCTAGATTGAGTTTCTAATTCTCCTTACTGTCAACCATACATTTCTCATAATGTTAGTGTAGAGAATTTAGGATTGGATCAACTAGTTATCCCCAAATTGATATTTTTCTTTATTCTCATCACTTATCTAATTGATATTGCATTGATATTGTAAGGAGAAATTCTGTCTTGGTCACTCATGGGAGTTAAAGGGTTAAGGTAAATTAGTTCAGATGAACTAAATATTTGCTTTTATTTTTATGGGAAAATCAGCAAACTATGGAATGGGCCCAAATGTTTGTATTTCTTTCACTCCCACTTTATTTTATCAAGCTGCTGATACTCCTCCATGTCATTGTTGCTTTTCTCTGGCCATTCTTGAGTCCACTGGCCTTAATAGGTCAATAACCATTGATAGATTGGAGGCAAAGCTTGAAAGGAAAGATTCACCAAGATGTTGTTCAATTCAGTCTAATAAGAATACCAGACATTGCCCAAGTAATGGAAATTATTTGATCTATAAAGTATTGATTATTTGGAGGACATGGGAGAGGTTTATAAAATTTTATTTAAAAAAAAAATTGGCCCAGTTGTCATACAAAGGTTTAAGATCAGCTCTAGAGCTCAGTGATTTATGTTAAAAAGGATGTTTTTAATACTCCTTTTTCATAATTAACTTTAGCTGAGCATAACTCTCTAATCATTATATTTGTTTATTTTCAACAGAAGTTGCAAATTTGTGTTTACAAATCCTTACTCTTTCTATTGAGGGAAAAATGTTTGTAACTTCTTTTGTTGCTCTATTTTTTGTGTGCTTTAGAAGGGAAATCCAGTGTTAAAACATATCAGGAATGTTCCATGGGAGATGGGAGATATTATTCCAGATTATGTGCTGGGTCCTTCGACTTGTGCTCTGTTTTTAAGGTATGAAACAGTGTCAGTTCTTAATGTTGTGTCAATTCTTAATGTTGTCTTGTTGCTTACTCTTTTTGACATAAATAAGCATTAAAATCACTTCTGGGCAGGGGCAGACAGGGAGTGAAACAAAGTGCATGTATTGTGGCTCTGGCTGTGAGGTCTGGATTTTAATGGGAATCTTGAAATGACAAGGTTTCAATTGAATAATATCCCTTAAAGTTATGTAATGATTTACTGGTAATTATAACAAGGTCAGTTTCACTACATGATTGATTATGACTGTGTTTGCTTATAATCACATAGCACATAAATATTTTTATCACCTCAAAAACTAAAATTGAATTTTTTGTGTATTGTTAAAATATTAATATATTTCACTGCCATGTGTATTAAAATGATTAAAACATATCACTTACATCTGCCTCAGCTTTGCAAAAAAGTTTTAATTGAGCTTTAGTTTTCAATATAATCCTACATTTTGTTAAGTTTAAGGTATCATCACTTTAACCCAGAGTACATCCATGAGAGACTGAAACTCCTTGGACAGAGATATGAACTTAGAATACTTCTTGTTCAAGTTGATGTGGTAAGTATTTGCAGCACCCAACAATGATGTATCCTTTAATTAATGTTTTCTCCTGGGAAAAGCAGTTTGATTTGTTTTCTTGAAACATAGTCAAGAAAAACATGATTGAGACTATAAATATATTATGAGACATTGTGGTGTATAGTCTTGCATAGTGTTTTTATGAGTTGTACCATATTTTGGCGAGTCCATAGGGCTAACCAAAATACAAACAACTTTTAAAAATACACATTAATACTTCATACCAAAATGTCTCATAAGTTACTGATTATCCAACTGCTTTATTTTCTTCACTTTTCTGATGAGACAGGAAAAGCGAAACAGTTAGAGAATTGTAGCACACTCAGCTGACAGATTAAACAGGCTTTTTATAATACAAAACAATCAACTGTTCAAATATTGCACAATATTTGTACCCAATTTATGCATTTTCTAAGTGCAGTTGGATACTATAATGCTGGATGTTTGAGCTCAAAATGCATGTTATTTTTACTCTGTGAAGATGGATGATAATGTTATATATTGCTGGTAACGAAAAAGTCTTCTTATATTGTCAATCCTTCAGAATTGGAAGTCTTAGATCTTTGTTAGACACTTACAAGTAGTTAAAAAGACATTTAATTTGTTTGACTGTTAATAAGAGTTATCATTTTTTTCAACAATATTTCTGTTTTAGAAAGATCCTCACCAGACGATAAGGGAGCTTTCTAAAATGGCACTGATGGCTGACTGTACTCTTATGCTTGCCTGGAGGTACAAAGTTACACTCCATACTGTTGCATGTAAACACTATTTTCCCATTCTGTTATTTACGTCTTAGCTATGCACCTTTGCTATTAGTTTATATCTCTATACTGCAGCTACCTACACAAAATGTCAGAATGTTGAGAAATTTTCCATGAAGTTCCTTAAATTCTCTTGTTCTTATCACTGACCTATTGTCATGCATGTGTACTGATGAAATGGTCTGACATGTATTTGTTCTGGGTTTTCTGAATTCTTTTAACTGTGAGCTGCAGGTTCTTTTACAGTATTGATGGAGAATTGAATCATGATTATTAAAATTCTACATACTGACAGAGACTTTTTTTTATTTGTGTACTCTTGTGTATGTTTGTTTATTGTCATACTTTTATAGCTCAGAGGAGGCAGGAAGATATCTTGAAACTTACAAAGTTTATGAAAATAAACCACCTGATGCTCTTCTTGGTCAAAGTGAAGGAGATTACCTCAGCAAGGTGATATTTCCATTATTCTTTGTGTGTTTACAGTCAAAGGTTTTACTTTGAAAGCTTTAAATATTGTAAGCACAAGTATACTTTAGAGGAACTTAATTTGGTTTTCATTTAAAAAGGTGAGAATAAAGTAGGGCAAAAGATGAAAATCTGTAATTAATTAGATAACATTTATTAGCTCTGGATGATAGAGTAGAAAGAGGAGTACATGTAGAGACCTTCAATTTATTTTTGTTGCTTGTGTGGTAAATTTTAAAGCAGATAGCAAAAAAATTAAGGATATATTATTAGTACTCCTCTAGAGCATATCTCTGTGTTTACTGATGTTGAGATGTTCAGAGAATAAAACAATCAAATATTGTTTCCCTTATTTCTTACTTATTTTGTCTTATTGTGTAATCAAGTTATAGTCACTGTTTCAAACTATCAATAAGATCTTATTTCTTTTTAATCCAGCTCACGGATTGCTTAACCACTGTGAAAGGAGTAAACAAAACAGATGTAGTGTCTCTCAGCTCCACATTTGGGGTAAGAGCTTGCATTCAATCTCCTGGTTCAGTTGATCTACCTTCACTTTAACAAAATTATATAAAGAAATATAATGGAAAAATTTTTTATGGGGTGATGGTCTGGAGAGCAAGTATGATTTTGGTGAGTGAGTGCTCAGTTAGAGTATTTTTTTTTAAGTAAATCATGGCAGCCACCTTTGAGTTTTACAGCTGCAGCAGAAGCCTGGAAAGAAAATTAAATTTGTACCAACAGGGTGTGTGATGGGCAAAGGAAAGAAGAGAGGAGGGATGGAGGATTTGACTCTGAATCAATCATGGTAGAATAGAAGATTGCAAGCTTGTAATGTTAACTTGTCCTAATAATAGAATGAGGAGGGAGGCTTTTCTTACTTTTTTTGAGGGGGGTTCTATGAATCATGACAAATAAATGACTTTCTGTTGAGCAGTAGCTAACTATGTCTTAATTTTAGACATTAACCCAGTGCAATCTTTATAGTATACTGCATACAGAAAGCTAAAGGAAAATTTGGGGTATTTTCTCACCATGCAGAAAAAAAAAGGTTAAATAATTTTCTTTTCATGTACCAGTCCACTGTGAGATAGATTTGAAGTATGAAATACCCATTTTCATGGTAAACCAATGTTATAATTTGAGTGAAAATAAATTTTTTTAAAATTATTTTACATCAAATTGTTGAGAAAAACAAAGGATTTGTTTTGCAATTGGTCAAAAGGGTACTTTCTATTCTATATTATTTTCCAAGTTTTAATTTGTTTATTTGGAAAGCAATCTATCGCATCAAACAAAGTATCATTATGATAATACATTCCATAACAATTTAAGAAGAGTGTCATATGACATTGTATAGTTCTAGGCTTTCCTCGACAAGAAAGAGCTTCTTTTTAAGGGTTATCTTTACAGCTTTACAGAAATTATTGTTTTCATTGTCAAATTTTATAATGGATGATGCAGAACAATTCCTGAATTCCAAAGAGGGCTTATGTGGCATCCTCCAAAAAGCCAGATTACATTTAATACCTTTGATTCTCTCTCATTTAACAATTAAGTTATTGCTGGTTTGATATCCCTGAAAACTTCAAAATTTCCTTTAGCTGTTCTTGTCTGCAAAGTACTGATAAAGCTTCATCATTTACATATCATAACTATGATTGTAATATTTTTTTAACTCTTGTAGTCCCTTGCTAATATGGCAACAGCCTCAAAGGACGACTTGGCTTTACTTCCTGGATTTGGGCCTTTGAAGGTTTGCATGGTGTATTTTTAATTAGTGGTGAAGGTTAAACTTCTTATTTCAGTAGAAAGTAGTAAGATTTCTGATTATTATCATTGTTATTATTATTATTGTAATTACTATAATTATAATAATTATTATTATTGTTATTATCATTATTATAATTATGATCATCATTTTAATTATTACTTTGATATACTAAGTACTTTGGAAAGCAACTCTGAGGGAGTGCACTAGGAGAACATTTTACTATTGTAACTAGATCATGTCATTTTTCTTCATGAAAAAAGGTATAATCCTACACTCTCCTGTGAGTTCTTTATTGAATTTTAGCAAATCGAAATTATTCCTATCTTAACATAATGGTTATCAATGAATTCAGATTTTACTGTTATGAGGCATGATTTTATTAATGCTTTCCAGTAATTTGTAATTGACTATTTATTTATTTAATCTTTATTTAGGCTCAGAGACTACATAACCTGATTCAACAGCCATTTGTTGCCAAAAAAGCAAAATCATCAGAAGTTAAAGAAAGGTCATGATATTTATTTAAATTAATAGCATGTCAAGTCCATCATGTTAAGAAAGACAAAGGAAATAGATTGCAAAACTTATTACTGGTAACTATACTGTAAATAGTTATTTAATTCATACTGCTCTGTATATACTCACAATTTATGCACACCGACTGTACAGAGGTAATTAAATGTGATCAAAATGTTGGGGTGTATGCAGAAAATTACATTGTCTCCCAGCTGAAACAATTTTCCTCAAATGTTTTCAACATTCAACCAAGAAGGTAATGGAAATTGTTCATCATAATTTTACAAAGAAGGAGAAAGAAACTTTTATATACAATACAAATCAAAGATTTACAGGTGCACAAGCTCATGAATAAATGTCAGTCACTTTCCAACTTAAGAGTCCTTTTCTGTTGCCTGCATAATCAGTGTTTTTTTTTTTTACCATTTAGCTTTTTATGACCATTTTTTCATTCTTATCCATTCCAAATTTTATTGAGAGGTATGGTTGTATTCTATTGCTGTTCTCCTGTTTGTTTATGTTTTTGCATGAGCTCACATCGGAAGATAGTGTTTTGAAGTTCACTTATTACATTCTATGACCATTTTGGATTTATGTTTACTTAAAATTTTTTTTAATGTATATGCTGTGCAGTTACTTCCTCATGGTAGTATTATTAAGCTGGATATGGTGATATTAGCTAAAGGTAACTGTAAAGTTGCTTAGAACAAGCTTTACCCTGTATTTAAGCTCTACCTAATATATTTGACTCCGTTCAATATAACTATTGTTAGTCATTTCTTGTTCATTCGCTTTGGTTGTGGAAATATTGCAATAAGTTTATCAATCCTTCTCCTTCAAATTTTCTTTAAAATTAAGCATTAGATCGTAATTATCACAGAATAAATATCAATGGTCTAGACCCTTTGTAAAGTTCAATCACTACACAGTTGTATTAATTTATTAGCTAGTAGTCCTCTTGAAATAAATTAAATTATCTTTTGATTCTAAGGGACTAACATGTCTTGAATTAAATTGACAAAATTTGTCACTGACTGTAAACCAAGAAGTGGATGAAGAGACTCTCATAGAATACAAGCATCAAAATACCCTAATCCAAATAAACCTCCGTGAGGGGGGGGAGAGGGGGTGGGAGCTTATTAATTTCGAGAGCTCCTAGACAGGGAACTAAGTAGGGAAAATTTGAAATGAAACCTTTGTCTTCTTTGTACTGAAACACTATCTAACCTGAATTTATAATTGGCTATTCTTCAGTATACCTGTTTGCATGGCATTACTTTGCCCTGCCCTTGTTATTGTGGGTTCTATAAGGCAGAAGGAAAGGGCATTAAAGAAACCTTAAGCTCTCACTGGGAGCCATATTTAACTTGTGCACTGCTAGCTAAGTTTTAAGGCATTTTGACCAGTCAACCTTTGATGCTGGACACATGCCATAAACTGAGAGCCCCATTAGTATGTATATATATTTCAATCAGGTAAATCAGACATGAGATTCTCTCAGTTCGTGTTACACCCACTCCCCATAATTGGACACAGATCTAATATTTCTGGGGGGAAACAGGTATTCAAAGTATAAACGGTATCAAAAATATTATGTATTAATTAAGTTTGTTGTTACAGTATCAGTCGATTGCAAACAAACACGTACTTCCCAAGTCCTAAATATTTAAGTTCAGTCCAGTCAAATATTCCGGACTGAACTCCTGGTAAGAGCAGGCCTGGCAGCGTAGCGTAGTACAACTTCGTAGTGAAGCAAATATTTCAAGTGAAGGCAACTGAATGAGTAACTATTATGCCGCCTTACCGCAGATCATCTTACCAAAGCGATATGCAAGGCCTGGTTCGTAAATGTGCCTTGATAGGTGTGGGTATTAGCTTCGTTATTGCGCTTTTTTACTGGTGGTTGCCGGGCGAGAGCACGGTGTATTCTACTGGAAACAGTGCAAGTATTGACTATTATCACAGAATTGCTTGTGATAAGAAATACAACGACACATATCCTCTGACTCGTCCAGAAACCACAGCACAGGGAAAGAGATTTAGAATCGGCGTCATTGCGGATCTTGATGAAAATTCGAAGTCTTCCTCCAAAGCAAACACATGGACAAGTCAATTCAAACGTGGATATTTAACACTCCTTAACAATGGACGGGTTTCCGTGGAGTGGGATCAAGATATAGTAATTTTATCCTCTACTTTGTCTCAGAAGGGAAGGGGAATGGAACTTTCGGAACTTATAGTTTTTAATGGGAAGTTGTACGCTGTTGATGACCGCACTGGTGTTGTTTTCCAGATTCACGACAAGCACACTATTGCTTGGGTGATTTTACCAGATGGAGATGGCACGGAAGCTAAGGGATTTAAAGCAGAATGGATGGCAGTCAAAGGTAAAACTCTCTACATTGGTGGACTTGGAAAGGAATGGACTTCTGTTGAGGGAGTTTTCCAAAATCATAATCCACAGTGGGTGAAAAGCATTGGGCCTAATGGAGATGTGGTACATCATGACTGGGTGTCCAGGTATGAAGGTTTGCGAGGGGCCTTAGGGATCCAGTACCCAGGTTATGTTATACACGAAGCAGCAAACTGGAGTGACAAACAAAAGAAGTGGTTTTTCTTGCCGAGGAGAGCCAGCCATGAGATGTATAATGAGAAAGATGATGAACATCGTGCAACAAATGTATTGATATCCTGTGATGAAAATTTCACAAACTTTCATGTGCACACCATTGGGGAACTTAATTTGACTCACGGGTTTTCTTCATTTAAGTTTATTCCTGGGACAGATGATAACTTGTTTGTTGCACTGAAGACTGAGGAAGACAAAGGAACCATTCGTTCATATATTGTGGCCTATGATATTCATGGAAGGATGCTTATGGATGAGATTCTAATTGGCAACAATAAGTTTGAAGGAATAGAATTTATATGAAGAAACATGATGAGGAGTATTTTTAGCACTTTCTTATTTTTGGATGGTTTTCTGTAATTTATGATAGTGAGCATACTTATTAAATAAAGTGGTCTTTAAATGGATAACTGTGCAACAGACACTCATAAAACCTTATGCTAACTCTTTAATTTGCAGAAGGGTAAAAAATTACAACCTTTAATCAGAGGATTTTGCTTGAAAGAACTATATGGAGGGCATTGTCCTCTGATGATTTCAGTTTATTTGCAAATATAATTTTTCTTGTCTCCAATGTAGATGACATTAAAAAAACTGATGATTGGAAAGGAGGAAGGAGAAATTTTAACAAATCCTTAGACCAATATGTCAAACTACAAAGCAAGGAAATTTGAATATTGCTGAAGTCTTAAGAGGCCTGAGGTATGCAGATGAAGAAAAATCAAGTTAATTCTCAGAGAATAAGTGCAGTCAGCAGTGGTGTTGTAATCCTGAGCCAGGGTGGTCAAGAAACTATTAAGCTAACCCTGCTAAGGTTATTGAGTATTTAGATTTATATGCTTTTTCTATGAAGATAATCTGTTGATGGAATAGACATTGTCAAAATATAGCATCGCTCTTGTTTTTTTTTTTATTTTAGTTTGTGTACGCTGGAAACAACTCTAATCCCTTTTTTGATCTTAACACTTAAATAAACTCTCTCTAAGTCCTTACAGAAGACAAAAACAATTTTCTTCAAGGAAAACTATTTTGTTTTCTAAACATACTATACATTTGGACCTGTACATAGCAGCACCATACTGTTGGCTCTTAAAGTCCTGAAATTTTTATCCCTTTATTACAATAATTTTTATTTCTATCAAGTGGGGGCAGTCACTCTCTTCCAGGCCCCAATAACCCGTATTGCCCACCTGTACTAAATAGTCACTTAAAGTGGAACTAAGATTTATCTTTCAAGTAAAATTTAATCCATATTTATCTCCCAAAATGAATTTTGAGGGGAGTTTTTGTACATTAAGTGGTTAATTATTGTATAAAATGATGTTTTTATCATTTATTTGTAATACCCCTTATCCGAGGAACCTGTATAGAGCAAGCAACCTGTATTAAGCAGTCACCATACCATTCCTTAAGGGAGACCACTTAGGACAGGTTAGACAGCATTCTTAGTTGACAACTAATGCTAAAAACTTAGTGATGCTTGATATTAAGTCCTCAACTGCCTAAACGTATCCCCCTATCAGAAGACTTAAATTGGTGTAAGGGTAGAAGAAGGTAGTGATTTCTTATATCATGCTAGTAATTGTTCATTTATTGGTCATCACAGTTTTAGCAGGTGATTATTATGATTCTTATCATTTTCTTGGGTAAATTTATCATAACTCTGAACATGTAAGATGGAACTGAGGAAAAGTTGATCAGGTTTCGATTCCTGGATAAAAAGGGATATTTTCTTCATCAATATGCTGATGAAAGTGTTATAATGTATTGTGTCTATTAACATGTAAACAGCTCCTAAGTCCCAGACAGACAAGATAAAAAGAAACTATAGGAGGAAATACAAAGGAAATTAGGATGAAATATATTCGTTTCACTTGGAAAACTACAATTGAATTATCTCAAAACTGTGGATAAGATTTTGGGGAAAAGTGATGGGTACAACTGAGAAATTGAGGTTATTTTTCATTCACAAGCACCATTTAGTTCATCAGGTTTTGATGGTATTAACACCAACATGTGTCGTCTTCACTTTTGGATGCAAGTGCAGTTAAACTTTAAATAAATTAACTTTAGAACCACATCCTTACCATTTAAGGAAGCGAGGGGGGTTGACATTGAAAGGAATGCCTATAATAGAGGGGTGCCTAAGAGCTCCATTTGAGGAGAGGTTCATCTGAGAGATTACATGGGAACTATGAAAATACATTTTCCTTACATCCATACAATTTGGGGGAGGGGTGGATGGAGAGTCTTTTCTGCAGGAATGCTTCCTTGGTATTATTTTGACTTTGGAAGGGGTAGTTCCTTGTCGAGGGTTCTTGAATAGAGTGCTGGTGCAAATTGTAACATTTTAACACTGATCCAACATTGGAAGCTTCTAGATAACTGGTTAATGAACTAAGTTTTCGGAAAATATACAGGAAAAAAGGGCTGATGGTGAATAATAAAGAAATTTTAATTATCCCACTTGAGTCGTAAAAAATACGACGACAGTTAAACACCACAATTTCTGAATTAAACAGTTTTTCTCACTCAGGAGGCCGTTTCAAGTACATTTGAAATTCTCAAGCTTTTTAAGCAGTTAATTTTTATTCAACGTATCGGGTGCTTTGGAAAATTAAGATGACTGACAAGTGAGAGGTTTATTAGTTTGAAAAACCAAACTGTTTGGCGCTCGGAAAATTCGAGAAGAAAACTATGGTCGGTCATGTTTATGCACGCTTCTTTAAAAAACGAAAAAATTAGAGCGGCTGAAGTGACATGGGTATTGAAATTTGGTGATTCAAACAATCACCAATTGAACAACGGTACAACCTAGCCAATATTTCTGCAGCTCCTCTGGAGCCATAGCTTAGGAAAATCGCTCACAACATAGAATCCAAATCAGTATCGGAACAATAAAATAATTATGTAAATGGACATAACAAAGGCATTTTTTTTTAAATGAAATGAAATTTAGTCAGTAAGTCTTGGTTCTCCCCTTTAGGAGCTTTTAAACAATGACTGGAGTCAGTAGAGTTCTATCAGAGCACAATGAACATAATTCAACGTAAGCTTAGTAAAATCTCGCAGTTCCTATTTAGTCAGCCGTAAACTGTTCATTGTTCATTATCCACTACTTGATCGAGGCATTTTGTAAAATTATCCCTAAAATTATAACTAAAACTTACTCTGAGAATCTAAGAAACTAAAAAACTAGAAATATACCTATAAACTAGAAGCTAAAAATTTAACCGTTAGTAGTAAAAAAGGTTAACCGAACAAAGCTTTCCTCTCTAGAGTGTGTCATTTTGTGTTATTTCGGGTCAACTGTAATCGTAAAATGGCCAAAATTTTAATTGTTAGCGATAAAAGTCATCATCCCATTGAGATTTTCTGTGAAATTGTGCTTCTCTCTGTTCCATATTCATGTCTGTGGCCTTAGTAGCCTGATCATGTGGCTTGACGCTATTGTTCAAGACACAATGGACATCGTGTTTTAATCAATATACAGCAACATAACTGAAGCATTGCTCCACAGATAAGCGTCAAGATAAGGAGGGATAATTGTAGTTACCTACGTAAACATCTTATTGTACTTTTATGCTTATTGATCAAAGGTGACAAAGTTTGCATCTCTTTTCAGTTAATTACACTTTACAGCTGCAGCTCTAATGCCAGCAAGATTCAGCGTTATGTTCCTCTAAACGGCAAGGTTAGAAAAGGGAAGACACTGGGTTCCTTTTGAAAGATTTGTGCTTGGAATATTACGATAACTGTGAAGACCAGGTATCAGCCGTGAACTGAACTGTTCGACAATGGTTAAAAATAGTGACAAGGCTAAGTGTTTTGTGCTGCTGACGAAATTCACACCTCGCAAATGCAGCAACGAGGAAACGTTCGCCAAACTTGTACAAATTGCATCCTATAGAAAACAACTGGAGGGACTTTACAGAACGCAGTCAACACGACATAAAAACCAGGCAGCGTTGAATGTGCTTTTTCAAATTCTTCAAGTTCAAGAGGTTGGAAGCACCGAGGAGTATTCCATAGATGGGTCCGTGTTTAAAGTTCATGTCTTAGAGGATACAGAATTTTAACGTTGTTAACCACAGGGACTGAATTGAATACTTCGTTATCGCCGACATTCTCACGGCACAATTAAACTGTAGTCCGCGGCACTTATTCAAACATTAACTGAAGTGCTTGACTGTGAGAGCACGAGGAAGTAGTTTAAACAGTTCTAATATACCTCAGATATGGCCAGGTATTGGTGGCAGAATCGAGTGAAGAGAATGATCGAGTTCACCCCGATGACTTTTTCTGAGAAGATTGTAAACTCACTAAACGTGCTGTTCGATACTGAAACAAATGCGTCAGCGTTTTAAAACTTTAAAACAAAAGGAAAGTTTGAAATTTTAATTAATTTATCCGATAATTCGTTCAGCGTAGATAAAGTTAGAACGACGGCTGAACCATCTGTATTTTGTGATTGCAAGGAGCGTAAGGTTTTAGGTAATACCTTCATTTTCATATTAGATTAAAACACGGAACAACATAAAAAACACTGAATCAAAATATTACAATGGAGAGTATCAATGCCTCAGTGCAGATTTGATAAATATTGACCAAGCGCGAAACCCAGTAAACTCAAATACGGAATTTTTTAAATTAGCTGCGAAGTTAGGGGGCCTTATAATACGTTTATAATCGCAAACACTATCTCTTTTTGGGTTTTGAAAGTCAATTAAACAGAGGTGGTTATCAGGTCGCTCCTAATTACCAAGGTGTTTTCATTATTTTGGATTCTTTGAAAATGCATTCACGCATTCTGAACTGATCAATCGTGTCCTCTTTTCGTAATTATCACGTCTGTGAACCGAAACGACAAAAGTAAACAATATGACTTTCAAAAGCCCGGAACAGTATTTTCTGTCCAAAGGGACAGCTGCATGGTTTAAAACACGGAGTCAGATAGCTTCTACTTGAAAGGCCAGCTGAAGCATCATGGCATTAATACTAAAACGAGTTTCCTGTACTTCGGAGAACGCATCAGAAGTTCTTGTGAGGCCTCCGCAAATGAAGTGTGATACTTATGGCGTAAGTTGCACGTCGGTGTTGCTTTTTCAGAGGGAATGTGGAAAAGCAGCCGCAAGTTTTATTTCCTTAGAGCAATATGATTGACTCGAGAATGTAAAGAGGCTCTTTTTCACATTATAAATGTTCTGCTTGATAAACCACAAAGCCTCCGACTGTAATCTTTGTCAACAACTTATGTTCTGATAAGACATAGTGTCAGGGCCTAGTGGTACATCGTCAGGTGGCAGCTTAGCCAGGTCTCTGTAACATGTGGCCATAATGAGATATATGACCCCTCCCGACTGAGTAGGATACTAGTCTACGGCGTGTAATCCCCA